TAGATACGGAGCCATAAGCCGAACTTTATTGGCGGCCGCCGTAGTTTCGACGGCGCCAGAGGAACTAGGTCTACCTTCGGCAGATCGGAAACCTATCGATTGAGAATATCGAGGGAGCACCTCGATATTCTGAAAAGACGCCGTTTATATCGTGCGTCGCGCACGCGCGCGCGCTTACCTGGCGCACGTGTCTCGACATTTCAATAGACTAATCCCCGACGCATCCAATTTCGCAATCGGAATAAAGGGCAGCTTCTTTCGTGGTGTGCGAATGTAACTCCGAATCGCCTAATCCGTAATAATCTCTCGTAATCGAGAAACAAAATAAAACATTTCTCCATTAAACATCTTGTATACTCCACTTTCGAATACTTAAATTAAATATTTGATCAAATATTTAAATCAGAAATACAATATATATTGTTCAACATTTTCTACAATCGACTTCAAGAAGAGAAAAGTCATTTATGAAATTAATATAAGCTAAAATGTTAGAGTGTATATAAAAAATCAAAATAGAAAAACCTTTATACTTATTATATATAGGTAAATAACATTGTTATACTTTTGCTTATCTCAGAGCCTAAAGTATAAGTCCTAAGTACGTACATAAACGAGAGATCCCGCGGATTTGATCTTAACACGAGAACAGAATAACTTTTAAATAAAGTGTATTTCATCCTTAAATAGAAATGAGACTATCATTTTTATCATTCTTGCGGGAAAAAAAATTACTCCCCTGCCGCCATGGTAATGGAAGAGTCCTGTAAGTGTACGTAATGAAGAGACGACAGTAAATTTTTCACGGATAGTTAAATTCGTGGCTGCCGTTTCTACCATTTTTTTCTCTCCCTCTTGTACCATCCCGTTTTTCGACCCGGATAGCCTCACTTTGGGGTTTATCGGACGGTTTTTATATTTATTACCTCGCGCGCGCGGCACGATCCGGGACGAGAACGAGGACGATAGGGGCGCCAAAATCCACCCCTCGGTGGTTCCCCATAATTTCTTCTCTCTCTTTCCGTCGGGTCCCTTTTTCAGCTCTCCGCCCCCTCCCAGAAATCGCCTCCACGCGTGTTTTACACCCGCCGCCGTTAGCCAGCGAAATCGCAACAGATGCAAGTGCACTCTTCGTACTCTCTTTCTATCTCTCTATTTCTCTCTCTCTCTCTCTTTCGATCTCACGCCCTGACGTTTTTTTCTGTACCGAGCTCGCCGGTATTCCCCCGAGACGTCTCGGGAAAGGGCCCCGTTGGCCCCGTCCGGTTAACTAGAGTATTGTTCGATTATTATTTCGGTACATATCGCGCACTTGTTACCTCTTTGTGCGGTCATATGGTGGTCGGAGGGTGACCGGAGGGTGGTTGGCGAGTGTCACGCGAGACAGAAGACGTGATGAGATAGATAGAAATGCGCAGCATCACTTCGCGTAGATACATAGCAGAAAAATAAGATATTAACATACGAGAAAAGAGAGAGAAGACTGAGAATTTTAGTTGCGTCATGATATGACTTAACTAGCGACTTAAGTAGCTATATATAGATTATAATAAATCGAGCATAAAAAAATGATGAATTATAAATGTCGAGTAAAAAGTAAGTAACGGATTTTTTTGTAGGGCAGAAAGGCTAAAACGAGATAGTAGATGTCCTTGCAGGCTACTTGCCTCTGCGAGGAGTGAACTCGTTAATATTAATGACGCCTGCAGCTGATGCATGCTACCGAGCCAATAAATCCGATATGTATCAATTCAGTATATAAGAAAGGTGTATCTTAAAAAAAAAAAAAGAAGCAGGAGTACATATAAAACAGATACGCCGAGACGAATACAACTACATTATTTATTTTTAAAGATGTGATTTTCGACACTGATGCATTACCATATGGCAGTATCAAAATATCGAAATGTCACATAAAAAGTAATTGACTAGTGAGTTACAGATAAATATGTGTATATCTATAGAATTCTTATATATAATATTATAATAATAAAAACGGTTAACACAATGTCATTAATCTAATGCAACTTGACCTGAATTTTGACTATAGCTTTAAAGTTGTTGAAGTAAGAAAGTCGGATATTTCATCTGTAGGTTCTGCGGTCCAAGTACCCCAAAACCCGGCGCCCCCCCCCCCCCCCCCCCGAGGCACGGACACGCGACACGAAGATAAAGCCAAATTTGGCGAAGTACTTCGCTCGGCGGCGAAGAAAGGAGCCGAGAAGCGGTTAGGCGGAGAGGCGAAGAACGGACAATGATCTCCGCAACGCAACGGCGGGAACATCTGCTTTGGCAGTGGCGGCGGCGCGGCGCCGCGCCGCGCCGCTCTCCGAACGTTCCGAACGAACGGCGTGTCCTCCTTCACGGGCCGATCTGCCCGATCCCCGATGCCGTGAAACTTGTCCCACCTCGGTGTATGCATGCATAGGTATTCATTATCCTCGTCCTCTCCTCGCCCGGCGGTGCCGGCTCGCCGCCTCGCGCGTTCCTTTTTCCGCGCGATCTTTTTTGGTCCACGGGGAAACATCTGCGGCAGCTGCGAGGCGGTGGACCGCCGCTCCTCGTACGAGGCAGGTGCTCACCTTCCGAGGTTCTCCCTCGCCTGCCAATTACGCGTGCCTCTTTCTGCCTCTCCCACTCCTCTCACTCCGCTTCTCTCCGTCTTCCGCCCCTACGAGCCGCTGATGCCGCTCTCTTTCCGCCCGCCGTCGTCCTCTGCCCTGCCTCCTCGGTTTTTCTCTCACCTTCTCTCGTTACCGTCCTCCTGCACGCTCCCGTTTTTATCCCGCCCCCTCTCCACCCCTATCTCCCGGCTGCGATCTCCCTCATCTTGTTGCCCTCGTGCCAACTTCTTACATTCCTTCGTGCATTTTAGCGCACTCTACTTTTCCTTCTTAATTATTCAACTCCAGAGAAGTTGTCAAATAAACGTATCCTCCATAACTTTCGATGAAATTACATTTTCGACGACATTTGATAACTGTTCATTACGGGACAACGATACTCCCTCTTTCCACGCGTCTCCTCAACGCTCTCTCTCCCTTCTCTCTCTCCATCCTTAAATTCCCTTATTTTGCACGTTTCTCGTAGCAACTTGTTGCATTCCTTTGAGCGATTTCACGCGCCCTCAGCCTTCCTTAGTTAATTATAAAAGAGGAAGGAGAGACATTCATCTCTTTTCAAGCGAGACTTCTCTCGCTCTCTGTATATTACAGTGATATCACACGTTTTCCTATTCTTTAAACGTGCTCTCTCTCTCTCTCTCTCTCTCTCTCTCTCTCTCTCTCTCAGCAAATTAAACGAGCATTAAATGTAGCGCAATTATTTCAGGCATTCCTTGCATCGTCCGCCCTTCTCCTCCGTCGTCGCCTTCATTCTCTCATCTTATTCGTCGCTCTCGCTTCACACTCCCTGCGCTCGAATCTTTCGGCTTTCTCAGCTGCCGCCGCTTCGAGAGGACGATCTACTCGCACTCCCCCGAATAACGTGCTACTTCTTGGTCCAGCGCACGGCTTTACACACACGCATGACGCACGCACGCACACCGCTTTGAAGCCCTTTTATTTTTTTCTCGCCCTTCGGGATGGAAGATGGAACTGATGGAAGCCGTCTGCCCACGGGCGAGATCGAAGCACGTGCACCGACTTGCATATATCGAAGAGGCTATTTGAGAATCGCTCGAAGGTGTTCGTGCTTTCGTACATCATAACATTTCTGAGGTGAATTGGGATATTCATGCCTCGGAACGAAGTCCGTAATGGACCGTATTTTTGCTACGCTCCGTATTCACGATGTGTCGGCATGTTAAGCTTGTGTAAGAGGTGCATTATCATATATGAAACCGTTATAGATATACCTGACGAACGTTGTTTACATTATTCGATACGAAATGGTCCATATTGGAAGAACTTTTCTACGGTTGCGGTCGCGAGATAAGCGTGGAATTCTTTGTAGCCTGCGAGGATCGGAATTTCGGATCCTTTGTGGTTGAATTCCTGGTATTTTTATCGTATTCTCTCATTTTACGCATCTCTTTCGCATAACGACAAAACCCGTTTTGTTATTTCTAAACGATACGAAAAATTTCGCTTAGAATTGCTAAAGAAAGGCATTCGCGACAGCGTTGAAATTACCGAGGAAAAAATGTGCCTTAATTGCTCGCGCCGTTACGCGTGGTCGACGTGAAACAGAAATCACGATAGCGGATATTATTTAGGCTCCTCCTGAAACTCGCTCAGGCCACCGGCCGCCGTACGAACACTTGGAAGAAAACTCGGCCCAGCTTTGGATGGGCCACATGCCTTCCTGATTCTCCTATCTAGCAGCTGTCCTCACAGAGCAGTGTATCTCATTCCGGTCTTAACACTGCCGAGAGCCAAGGGCCCACGCCACTTTACACGTCGGATAACGCCGACTTTGTTGCTGTTTTATTCGTTATTCTTGTACTATACTCATTGAAAATTGCTGCTGGTCTACTAATTATGCTCGCGATCGATATTATAATTTAAGGGCGCAAGTAGATTAACTTTAATTTCAGTTTGACTTACTGTTTATAATTTTCTAGTTTTAAGAATTAGAAAAAGATAAAAAGTAAGTTAAAACGAGATTAAAGTTAATCTGTCTTATAGTAGAAATAGAAATTAGAAATTTATATTAAAATTGAGAAGATTAAGTCTGAGTTCACTTTTACGTTCTTAGAAAAAAGAAGATTACGCAACCATTGCAATTTGCAATAATCTTGCGATTTTCTTAAGAAATAAAGATACCGTGCACAGATGCCTTCTGCACGACGTGTCGTAATAATTAATATTTTTTCTGCGTTCTCGGTAATTATTTCGTTAATTATTCTAATTGTAAGTGAGAGCGGAGTGATGATTGTCTTGTGGGGGAGTATCTTCGAGTTTTTCAACTTATTCAACGATTGTCGATTCGGCTAATCTTGCGTAACCGACTGAATTATTTTCTAACGAAGTATGCTGATTCTCAAAGACGAAACTTACCCATAAAGCATCGCCGCCCCAGCTATGCCGCCACCGCATTGTGCCGCGATGTACAGCACCGCGCGAAGTGGGGAAATCCGTCTGCACAAAGCAAACGATACCGAGACCGCCGGATTCACGTGTCCACCTGCGTGCAAAAGGTTTTCCATATAAAGAGGAGGAAAGAATCAAAGAAGACATACGGGGAGATTGCGCGATTCTACTCTCGACTTGTACCCTACCCGTTTGATCGACGCTTCTTCCCAGTGACTTTCATCTCTGTTCATTTTTTTTACGACTAAAAATTGTTACGTTAATAAATCCAAGGAGAAATAATTGGCCGAGCGACACCGAGTTATAAAATTGACGAGCTCAATTACGTGCGACGGCCTGGCTGAAGATCGGAGCGGACAGGAATAATGCGCTCAGTTCGCTCGCAAGGCAAAAATTAAAATACCGTTAGATCGACATGTTTCAAGCAAAGATTTTTTTAATTTTAATTATCTTGTTCTATATGTGGATTATAGAATTGGACATTTTTAATTACAAACGATCGCTCAACGAGTCACAGCAGAAATAAAGCTTTCGCGCACCGTCCGCTCCGTTTATTCGTGCAGGGGCGATAGCCAGTCGGGGAGCAAACGCGATCAAGTTTCCGGTATGTAGTACGAGGACCGAGAGTTTATTACACGCATCGTATGTCGCGTATTGTGCGTGCCGTCGGTACGTACTCCGAGAGTGCCCACATACGTTCACGACAGACACGCACAACGCGGTAATGTTACGTCGCGCCGCGCCGGCGTAATCGGTTAACGAGCCAATCGAGAGAAATCGCGAGGGCCGTAGCTCGTGAACGATACGAACGTACAAGAAGGAACAGAATCATTGACGCAACGAGCAGTTCGCGACCCTTTGCGTAATTAGCCTCTGAACGCTTTGTAGGAGATGCGCGCATTGCGTGCACAAAAACCGCGCGGACGCAACGTAAAACGCGTGTAAATCAAACAGACTATTACACGCGAATAAGTTTTTGTGAAAAAATTCATTGTTATTGGAATGCAAGAACTGAATAGAACTATACACACAGATGGAACTAAACGCTCTCTAGCATTTTTTCTCTTTCATTTTATATAAAATATAAATTAAAAAATATATATTGTCATATATAAAATGAAAGAAGTATTAGATAGACATGTAAAAAGAAGAGCACTTTAACGTATGCTTCTTTCTAAACTCATAAATCCGTACCTTAGAGGTAAAGGATCGTATCTCCAGTTTTTGTCAAAATGGAGTTAATATATATTTCAATATAATAGAAGTTTAAATTGTATAATAGTAAAGCATCTTATGTCTATTATTACTAGTTCTTAAGATACAATGTTTATAAAAAGTTGTATTTAAAATTTTTATAGTGTCTAATTTTTAAACTAGATACAACGTTATTGGTAGATATACTATTAAATATGTCAGTTAAATTACTTTATTAAAAACTTGATAAATCAAGGCGCTATTTTTTATTTTATATCCCAAAAATATATCATTTCCCCATTTAAACCTTATTTTCTCTCAATTTATAATGATGAAGAAACGATCCTCTAAGATACAAAAATAGGAACAGACCAAAAAATTAAACTAAGTTAAAATTAACTAATTTTAAAATTGATTATTGCAAAATTGAAAATTGTCCTAGTCGAAACTTTCAAGATTTCAAACATTGAAATTTTTATGTACTAGATACATAAAGAGGAACCCCTTGTTACTTTCTAATAAATTGCTTATACTCCGTCCAACGAGAGATCATGGTTGATGATCAAACATAAATAACGATAGAGCACAGAGTCGCAACAATAAGGTGTTCGCGTTAAATTATTTTTATTTTTAATAGTGTTGGACAATATCTATTAAAAATAAAAATAATTTAACGCGAACACCTTGTTGCGGCTCTGTGCCCTATCGTTATTTATGTTTAGTCAACCATGATCTCTCGTTGGACGAAGTATAGTTTTTCGAAACTCGGCGATAGATGTATGGGTACATTGCCCCCTACTTTTTTATCATCTTCCGTGAAATTGACGCGATAACACCCTTACCGCTGATGTGGCCGAAGATGAGGGAGATCGCGGCGATGGCGAAGCCGGAAGCTACAGCGGTGGCTAGCGCGGAGAGGCCGCTTCCGGATACGGAGGAGGCGGCGGCCGCGCCGGCCACCACGAGGCTGAAGAAGAAAGTGGCCAGACATTCGACGGCCACCGCTCGCCACAGCTCCAAACTGCGAGCCTCGATGGACATGGGCGCCTTTCTTTCCCTCTCGTCGGCATTGTTCTCCCGGAGGGCCGACAGCCTCGACAGGATAGTGACGATGTGCGCGTCCATCTCGCGCGTCAACGTCTCATTCGCCATTCTCGGGTTTTTCTTTGTCTTCGCAATCACCAGATGAAGAAACGACACACGACGAAGGGGATGACTCTCAAAACATGTTCCTCCCCGACCGATATGATTGTCACGTGCACTCTTTAACGTTAATGAGAAAACTGCGCGTTCTCCACCACTCTTTAATTTACCACTCTTGGATCTCCGGACGATCCAAGGAACGAACCGATCGTTCTTTTTTTTTCACGTCCCTCGGTATCGTGGCGGATTCCCGGCGATTCTCTCGAGTGGAACGAACCCGGGGGGGATCGTGAGCGCGGCCAGTCGAGCTCCGAAGGTGGACGCACTCGATGTTGCCGCACCGGCAACGCGCTCGCGAGTGACAGGCCGACGTAGGACGTAGTTGGCGAACAAGTGGGCCCTGCGGAGTGCGGAGTGCGAGTGGTGTGCGCGTTCACCACCACCGCACCACCCCCTCTCTTCAACCGTTATTCCCTACGTGTCGGTGCATCTGTAGAGCTGCATTCGGCCGCCTCCATCACCATCGCCGACATCGCACCACTGACACTGACGCCGCACGGACACTCCTAACTTTAATTCTTTGATCTTTTTTCAAACGCCGAGTACGTTGACTTCATCAGTCTTGCTTCTTTTAAAGTAAAGTATAAGTTATATCGATTTTTCAAATAATCAAGTAGTCTTTTTTAGCTATAGAAAGCACAGGTTAGTTATTTATAAGAAATTTATCGGAAAAGAAAGGCACCGAAAATTATAATTTTATTTTCTTTTTTTTATTATTATTTTATCTATGCTTATATTATTAATCATTTTTTCTTAGTAAATGCTTTATAAAGATCTTTTAAATCTCTTTCTTTACCTATACTTCTAAATCTTCTTTTCAAAATGTCGCAATAATTTAAATAATTTTTTTAGAATAATGTATATATTATTAATCAAAATAGAATTGGACTGCAGCTGCTTTTATTTTCAATAATGTTAATCCGAAAGAATTTATTCGCTAACAAATGTTTCCTATTTGATATAAATCGATGAATCATGCACGTTCTTAATATTGTAGCTCGCCGTTTTTACGCTTTAAACCGAGAAATTTCTTTATCTACAGTACAGTACGTACCTTTTCCTTATCGTATTGCCTTTGAGAAAGGATAAGTCATGAGAGGCACCGAATGACGTGGATGAGATGAAAAGTTAGTTGAAGTCGATAAGATAAGTCCTAGTTGTAACTTTCGTAGTCAAAGTTTGGCAATCGAATTATACGTGAAACATATTTGTTCTAATGTAAAGTACGTGTATCACTGGCGGATATTGTAGAATAATAGACGCAGGCATATTTTTATTAGGATTATTAGAGTTTTACATCCTTCATATGTATTAATAAAATTTTTGTACCCCGATATATCTCTCTCTCTCTCTCTCTCTCTCTCTCTCTCTTTCTCTCTCTCTTTCTCGCAGAAAAAATAGCGATCTGAAAGTTATCCGCTATATTTTTTAGATCTTGATTTAAAATACAAATTAATTAATTAGTTAATGGTTATTAATTACTAGTCAATTAATTATTGAATGGCAAATGCAAATCGTGCGCTTTAACATTGTTATCGTAAAGCGCTGCCGCGATGCGGGTACATCGGTCTTCTCATGATAACTGTTAAGCGCAAGCGCTAATTCTTATCTTCCTCGTAAATCGCGACGTGTTCGGTATCTATAAAATGATGAATGGCGAGCAAAAGAAAGCGGACGGAGCGCGTTGTAATGAGAGCTATTAGGAATAGCATCACGCGTATTACCTTTAGTTAAGGTACTTAAGCTTAAACGCGCGCAACATTAGCCGTGCGCCCGTATTTACGGGCGCGCATCAACGTCGAGTCGCATTTGCGATGATTAAAATAAGCCAAGTAAATAAAACGTGCGTCGTGCGCGCATGTGCTTGGCAGTGTGGTGGGTCTTATTCCCACGAGTTCAAAGAGCATCCGTAATGTCCACGTTTCCACAAAAGGGATGTACGCGCGACGAGGCATGAACGGCGAGTATAATAGCGTACATTTAAATCAACTTTGCGGACGAATGTCGGATGTGGACGGTCACTTTGAGGATTCGCGTTATGTACGAACACGTATTCTCACGTCGATTTCTCGTCGATACACGATACACGATCGCGAAGGTCGACGATGATTCGCTTGATAAAAAGATAAACTCCGATGCACCGATGTCCGTGTCCGTGCTAAAGATTAAGTACGGTAAACTGGTTTATGTAAGTTTCAATATTGCGATATAAAATGCAAATTCTCGCGGGACTACATCAATGTGATGATAATAAAGAGGATACCACGAGCGAGGTGGTTTGATAGAAAAGCTATCCGATTTGTCAATTTCAAGCGACATATGTGTAACATTGACTTTAATCACTCGAGTTATTCTCAAACTGTGAGAAACTACTTTTTTAAATTAATTTTGTCTGCTTTACGTTATAAGCAACAATCATAAATAATCTCATTAAAGTAGTTACATTTTCCATAGTGCTTTATATAATTAAAAAAATAATATTTAAATGATATTTAACTACTTTTAATACTTATAGAAGAGTTATATACATATAGAAGTTTAATTTGAGAAGAAATAATATATTAAGAATAAAAAAATCAAAAGTAGAAAGTATAAAAGATGGTATTGAGGTACTACTTAAATATTAAAATAAATATTATTTAAATATTATTTTTTTAATTATTTTAATTTAAAGTAATAAATTTTAAAGTATTATGGAAATTTATGTATTTTAATACTTCCATCTTTTATAATACTTTTCACTTGTGATTTTATTCTTAATTATTTCTTTTCAAATTAAACTTCTGTATGTATATAATATTGATTTTGTAAATCTTTTATACATCACTCTCGCGATTTCCGTAGAATATTAATTAGTTGTTATTGTCTTATTTTACAACTCTGGCATTTAATAAATTTTATCTCATCCAATGAAGACGAGACTCCTTCGTCTAACTTGACGGTTCTAAAAGAGGATAAGCCGCCGTAATTAAAGCTATTTAACTCCTCCCGGCACTGTACTGACGTAGGAGCGAAGAACCTGGAACGGTAATAAATTCACCAATTACTATAAATTGAAGAACTTATGCGCGCGGGGGAGTTAGACGAGAGAAAGGGCGTTCGCTTTGTATCGTTACTGATGGCTTTCGAAGGCTTTCCTCGTAATACGCGTCTTTAAATACCAATCGATATTTTCACGACTCATCTTAGAATTTATTGAATTTTAAAATCTGATAGAAATTTTATCATGATAATCAACTAGACTTACGTGTTTGGAATATTTTCCTGGAAAATAAAATAGTTAATATCGGGCCTGTACGCGAATTAAATATGAGGTTAAATCAGGTCAAATATAATAAAAAGACCGAAAGGCTTCACAGAAATAATGATTATTTGCGTATTTTACTAAATACTTGATTATCGATTTGATTTAAACTGTGTTAATTAAAGCAATTAGGTTCGTTAATTATTAGTGCATTGATAAGATTAGAGTAGTAGCGAAGCTCCGCATAATTTTTGCGAGTTATCGTACAATTGTGAGATTCAAGTCCTTTTCATTAATATTCTTACACTTTCCTTATAAAATATTTACTCTAAACTAGGATTTGTAAACTCGATGCACTCAATACATCCTCCAAATTATTTATGAATTATTTCTAATTAGGTATATTATTAACTTATTATGTGCAGTCTATTAACTGATTATTATAGATAGGACATTACAAAAATTCGTGAGGCACTTGGCGAAATATATTATACTTTCTCACAAGTAACCATCTCTCGCAGAATTTACGGATGATTTTTCACGCTGAAAGTTTCTCCATTAATAACTCTTTTGCAGAATTTAATGCTTAACTCTCTGTGAAAATAGATTCTATTATATAAAACTTTATTTCCTATTTGAAAGAACCGACCTAAATTTTTTGCGCTGCGACGGTTACTCTATGTTATATGTAATTAACAGTCTTCCAACTTTTACAATAACTCTCTCGCGCTTTCTTACATTTCGCTCATTCGACACAAGTCACTCCACTGGCAAACGATTAATACTTAATTTAGCTGATAAAATCGTGAGTCATAAAGACGCGGTCGCGGCGTGTATGATTCATAGAGACGTTGCAGAAGCTCTCATTCTATATTTAAAATAAAACGAACAAAATAAATTAGCAATTTTATAAAATCCGCTTGACAGTTTGACGAGGTAAAGTCTGGGCAAAAAAAATGCGACATCGACGATCACCGTGATGAACCCTATGACAAATAAAATTATTCCAATCACGCGCATCCATCGCTGCTGATCAACGTGAGGGTCGTGAAATTTGCGGCGTTACTTACCAGGAACCTTATTCTCTTCAAACGAAAATACGCGAAGATAAAGTCAAGTCTATCACAGTATCGACTTCATGAATAATCAAAGTGAACAGGTGCTTGTAAAAATAGAGGATCCGAGGAATTTCCGAAGACTCTACTGCATTAACTATAAAGACATTAACTAAAATCCTATTTTATTTCCACGTAGATACAAAACGTTTTATGTAAATGACCAACCTACGTGCAATTGTCATCAATCATAAATAAAACAATTATTCTCGTAGCTTTACCAGCTTGATCCTTTTATTCTATTCCTGTCTTTTCCCTTGAAAGTAAAAATGTACCAATATTACAAAGAAAGCACTGTAATTTATAATTACTACAATAATTTTTTATTTTGAAATCTTGTGTTGGCCATCATCTTTAGCGCTGACAATGAGCGTGACTTTCTTCTGTGGACCTTAGACCTTACTTGCCTAATTTGCAAATTGACATTTACAAACGGAAAAATTAAATAATGTGGGAATGTTCAAAGTGTATACGAGTGAATGACGGAGTGAGTGAACGAGCGGAAGAGATCTGAAAGAATGTCGGAAGTTATTGAAGAATAATACGATTGTCGACGCGAGCGCGGCATATATGTCGAGCAAAGATTGAAATTTGCCGGAACAATAACAGTAAGCTGATTAAAAAATTGTAAGCGTGTGATAGAATATATCAGAGACGAGCTTAAGGACCGTGAGGACGAGAGAGTGTTGTCTGAGAAAACGAGCGATTCTTTGTCAAAATTGTGAGAACAAATAGATCGAGAGTCTTGTCTGCGAGGGAAAGTAAGGATATCTTCCTGTTATTTCTGACCTTAATATTTCACAATATTTCACAATAGTTATTTCACCATTGAATATACAGCGTTTTATGCGGTGCGTATACTTATTAACCCATCATCACGGCGGTCTCGATATCTAATCTCGTAACAGGTAAAACCATTGTTGTGATAAATGCGGAGATGCACGAGCCAACCGCTCGTTGCGGAACACATCCGTTCACGCGACGGCATTCTTTTACAAGGGCACGCATAGATTAAAATATGCGGTGCAAAGAGGAAGGACGGGGGATTATAAGCTAGGTCATCTGTTCCTCTATGATTTCCATTCATTTCCGCTATTTTATTTTGTATAGAAAAAAAGAGCAGGAACAATAAAATGTTCTCCATAAACATAGCAATCTATTTCTATCGCGTCTATAATCAAAACCATGAAGTCCAGTATGAAGAAGTTATAAAAAACGTATAACTTTTACGGATTAAAATATTTGAAGCCCTAAACGCGATGCGTTTATCGATATTGTTACATGCATTTATATATATTATTTACACCTGATTCTCAGAAAAAAGAATACGCGAAGTTGCAAAGGGTTTATTCGTGTTTTTATTCCAAGAAATTTAAGAAATTTGATTTACGTGAGTATTAATTTTATCAATTATTACAAAGACATATAATACTAAATATATGGTATACAATACATATAATATAAAGATATTAAATATAATTTAACGTATAGTATAAAAATATACGTAACTTTCAATAGTCTCTCTCTCTCTCTCTCTCTCTCTCTCTCTCTCTCTCTCTCTCTCTGCTTTAATTATTGCATTAATATTATTGATTTTTTGACTTTCTAATTAATTTATTTCAAGGGCTCTTTGTATACGAAGGCGCCCCAAACGCAATTTTTCCCTACAAGTAATTACTATTCACCCTACCCTTTCGTCTGCACCCTTGTTCTTCCGCGATCATGCACATCCGCTCGATCGCTCGTTTCGCAATGGGCCCCTGCTGTTGGGCGCGTGGGCGGCCCATTGCCGACCCATCGCGGCGACGTATGTGCACGCGACGACGTTATTACGGCTCAGTAAGGTCCGACCGCTGCTCTTCGCCTATCTGTCGCAGTCGGCGGACGGTATCCGCGAGCTATAACATTTTTCGCGTTGAGCCGGTGATGTTCGCGCGCAGGCGATCCTAATCTTCCCGCGACAAGATAGCGGGCAGGTGCGATTCGCAAACAAGTCGATCGAAGTATCGGCGCACGTCATCTGGTCCCCATAGCGACGGCTATTGCTGAAAGCTGCGGTCTCGACATTCGATTAAAACAGGAAGTGGCGCAAGTGGTCCGTAAGTCATCTCCTTCTCTGTGAAATTACGTTTCTACGCGCTACTGCGTGTCCTCGCGCATTTATACGCTTCGAAAAGGTTTTGAAAAGTAGATTGTTATTTGGAAATAAATTTATATTAGAATTAAAAGGATCTCGCTCGTGTGTCTCGACAAAGGAGAAACAAAGGCCAATAATTGAGCAAACGGTAAATGTCAAATTTAAAAGTTTATTTCCAACTCGTATATACGTATACTACGTCGGGACGTTTCAAACTACACAGAGTCTTCTTCAGCCGACAAACAATGTTAATCAATGTAAATAAATGTAACTTGTATTCATTTATTTAATCAACATTGTTTGTCGGTTCTGAAGAAGACTCGGTGTAGTTCGAAACGTCCCGACGCGACGTAGTATTAGTATTATTGAGATGGAAATAAACTTTTAAATTTATGTTATGTTATGACGGTTAACTTCCGAGATATCGTGGATCAAAGTTAAGTTGCCTAATTTGTCGACAGTGACTGCTCAGAAAATAATGAGACGCAATATTTGTTGCAAAGATTAATGCACACACAATTGCAGCCAAAAACTGGAATTTGCTTACACAACAAAAGATTGCAAAATTGCTCGAGAAATAGAAATAGAAACTTTTTGGCCTAAACAGAACATTTACGCATTGCATTGTAAGATGTGAGAGAGACTGTAAGCGCTAAATCAAATGTGATTTTCAAACACTACGTTGGGCGCATCCAAAGTTCGAAATTGATTTTAATGGTTTTTTGTTATAAAATAAACTCTTATTATTTTATTGATCTAAAAACGGTTTATGATAACATGAGTATATATATTTGTAATAAGTAAAAAATTAGCTCTAATCTGAAACTTTTTCTGCTCAAAAAAAGGATTTTCTGGGCATTCTTTTCGTTCCACGTTCGTCATTTAACACATTGAATTCGAATTAACGCGTAGTCAGCGATGTATAGATAAGCATTATTCATTGATTCGGTTTTTTGAAAAGCGAAATAAAATTTTATTGTGTTACGATAAAAAATAAAAAATATAATTAAGTCTTCTTAGCTTGGCTCAGAACCCCTATTATCTTTCATTTGATTTTTAATCCGTTGAGCCTTTGATCATGATATACATTTATTAAATAAAATTAAGTAGCATATTAAATTAACATGCTGAAAATGACATCGAGGATAAATAAGTTATCTATAATTGCACTAGCGGATCCTGTCGTCGATAATGGGGGGTGCTTCGGCAAAATTATTTGGTTTAATATTTTTTTTGTTAGTATCACGCTTAGCTTTTACTCCAGGATCAACGACGAGAACGTGGTGAAACTTATCTGATCCCATTTTTATAAAAAAAAAAAAAATGTATTTTTTCTTAGATTTTTGAAACAGATTTTTGAAAAACTGATTTTTTATTATTTCGAAGGAGATCTGCTCATGCCTAATTGTCCAGTGACAATCAATCAGTACTTCACAGTGACAATTGTACAGTATAATTAAGACTATTTATAGCGTTATAAATACAAGATGTTTTTTTCTTAAAATCTCTAACGCACGTTTCACACGTGTGTCAGAGTATATTTTTTGTTGGAGACCGAATGGTAAAACTCCACGCAAACAGTTTTCGAGAATTGCGGTAGATATAATATAAGAGAAGAGATTTGAGAGAAATAAGAGAAGTTAGAGGAGATAGTAGAATTGTACATTTCAACTAATTTGTGTTCTGTTTTAATTTTTATTTGAGATTTAGGAAAGGATCGAGGAGTACTACGCAAGAGATATATTCAATATTGAACTCTGAAAACTATAAAGTAAGATGGCGTTCAATTAAGTCGCGACAGAGCGAGAACCGCTTTATGTCTCAATAAGAAACGAACGTTGCTACGTATCATTCATCGAACGTATCTACTACGGAACGCTTATATGTAGGTATATATATACGTATATATATATATGTATATATATATATACATATAAAAATATTTGTACTTAACCGTGCATCTAAATCAATCGTCACGCAAGCCGAGTAGCCGATGTAACTTCAACGACGCCAGGTCTCGATGACGAAGCTATATCGCTTATTCTTATATCGCGTTTTAATTGCGTTATCTAGTTCTTGCGCGATCCCTTTCGCTTTCAAACTCCCCGTTTATCAGTCCCACCCCCACCTTTAGGCCTGCCGCGGCACCAATCGTGACATTTCGCATTATCGACGGGTGGAAGAGACGGCGAACGGGGAGAAGGGTAACCACGGAGGCGCGCGCGCGCGCGGCGAAGCCACCTGAAGTGCCACGCGAGTCATCGCGCCGCGAGCGTGAGTGCCGTGAGTAGCGTGACAGCCAGGGGGGTCTCGTGATAGGGTGTTGGCCATCTGTGTAGGGACGCTCTCATAAGTCATAAACGGAGTGAAACGAAGGCGAGCGAGGAGCGAGGGAACGTTTCGCAACAACGCTGACGACGCGCCGAGACGCGAGTGCTTCGCTCACGGGAACCGGGAACCCGCCTGCGAGGAACCCGCGCCGCCCGCGGGTTGACGCACACCTAACTTCAGCGGGGATCTCCACTGACGCGCCCCAATTACCGATTACGCGTCGATAATCGGCGTGGCGGCGCTTATCGGTCTACCTCTACCGTTCGGTCTCGTTCAGTGACAAACGGGCAAGTTCGTCACGCGGAGAACGAGGAACTTTCGCTTTCGTCCGTTCCTCGTTTGCCGCGAAGTTGGCGAGAGGAGAGCGCGCGCGCGCGAGTCTCTCGGGCCACACCTGCGCGCTCCTCGCGAGAGCTCGACTCTCGCGTGCGTGCTCTCGCGCGCGCGGAACATGGCCAGCGCGCGTGGAGGACGCGCGCACGGCGTCGTCGTCGGCGTCGTCCGCTGTTGCCTGTACCTGCTGCTCACGGGCGTCGTCGCGCTCGCCCAGGAGAACATTGCCCCTGGCAGCCGTTACTACAATCGCGACGGCGTGTACGTGCCGCCGCAAGACCCGAACGGCTACAAGACCTACGTCTACAAGGATAGAAGGTACGGCTATCAGCCCAGCTATTTGGAGCCCGGTTACAGAGGACCCACCAGAGCACCTGAAGATCGATTTCTTTACGGAGTAAGTGGCGTAATTCGTGCTATTGCAATCACAAACATATGACAATCGAGGTGTTCTTTTAGGATTTGCATGGAAGTACATTTTGTATACCAGATGAACATATTTAATTTACGCTAAAATTTTTTATTATAAACTGTAAATCTTGGAGGATACTTGATTGAAATTATTAAATGCTTAATATTTTATTATAATTTAGATCGTAAAAGTAATAATTTCCTGAAAATCATTATTTGTTGACCGTCATTTCCACCTTTGTTGCTTTTAAATTATATAGATTGTAAAATAATAAATCATTTACACTTGTCAATTATTGTATTATTAATTATGATTTGTTAAGTGTTTGTCTAAGTGTTTAAGCATTTTATATTTCAAATTTTAAATTAAACTTTTTGAAGTTTATTAGAAATGTAATTGCATAAGAATATTTCTCAAATAATGGCTATTTATTTATTTGTTATATTCTAAAATATATATAAGATTTGAATAAAAACATAAATTTAATAAACATTATGTTCTATTAAATCAGACTACGGAAAGGCTTCCGTTGCCAGGAATATTAGCTGGTTGGCGCGAAGATCTGCAAGGAAGAGAAAGACCAGATTCTAAAAATTTTAGAGATAGAGACATAATTGTGAATACAAATTATGGCCAAGTTCAAGGATTCAAAGTCCAGCTGTACGACGATCCGTATGCGAGGCATAGACCCTGGAATTTGGCAGTGGAAAGAGTAACAAAAATTGTTAATGTGTTTTTGGGTATTCCTTACGCTATGCCACCTACCAGAGAAGGTCGTTTCAAACCTCCCAGGGCTCACAGGTTAATACAAAATATTTCCTACTGTTTTTAATGCTTGGTAATATTACGTAAAACAACTTATTTATTTTTGTTTAGAGGGTGGCAACTTTTACAAGCTGTTGATTGGGGGCCAGCTTGTCCTCAGCCTAGCGAATATACTGGTACTACGAAAGGTGTGCGAGATGTTGATGAAGATTGCTTGTATCTAAACATATTTTCACCTTCTGTAAGTATGCTATATCCAGAGGAAATTAAATAAATGAGACGATTGAGTAACAAGATTATGTACTATGTATATAGATTGGCTATGGGTTAGCAAACAGATATCCAGTGATGTTATACATACATGGCGGCGAATTTAGTCATGGGGCGAGTAATTTGTTTCCAGCACATATACTAGCTGCCTTCTATGACGTTGTAGTAGTGTCTATTAATTATCGTCTTGGAGCTCTTGGTAAGTACATTGTTTGAAAAAGTATGTTCATGGAAAAGTTGTGCAATGTTGTACATGATTAACAAAAAATTAATCCTTGCCATTGTATTTTATAATAGGATTTTTGTCTACTGGAGATGAGAATAGCCCTGGAAACTATGGAATTCTTGATCAAGCTATGGCATTGCGATGGGTCCACGATAATATAGTTAGCTTTAATGGAGATCCTGAGGCTATCACGCTCTTTGGGCCAGGGGCTGGAGCAGCGAGTGCAGGATTATTAATGATTGCACCAAAGTAATTGAATTTTTGATATTTTTATATATTTTTTATCAAATTAATTATGTTAATTTATTTATTTTATCTTATTGTAGAACTCGGCACATAGTATCGAAAGTAATAGCGCAATCGGGTTCAGCTTTAGCTGACTGGGCGGTGATAATAGACAAGTACCGAGCACAAAATACATCCCGAGTGTATGCAGAAATGCTCGGTTGCAGTATAGAGAGCAGTTGGAAATTGGTACAGTGCCTAAAGGATGGACGTAGTTTCCTTGAATTAGGCAATTCTGAATTAAAACCACACGTCGGAATGTTCCCATGGGCACCTGTGCTGGATGTCAACTTCACGATACCTCGAGATGATTGGTATGAAGAATGGAGGTCGGCCGACTGGCGCTTTTTTGAGGAAACGCCAGAAGAGAGTATTAAAGCTCGCAAATATAAGAAAGATTTGGTTTACATGGCTGGTGTCACGACTCAGGAAGCAGCGTTTATTATAAGTATGTCATCTGTTGACTTCGATTTCGGTTTAACTGCGTTTTTTCTTGCTCAGAATTTTACTGTTTATTTTATTTAATTGCATATCGCAGCATATATATATTATCTTTCATAATTTTTATTTTAATTTTTACAGAAAATAATGTTACATTGGCAAGGAATCAATACATAATAACTCCTGAGGTATTTGATCAAAGGATTTGGGAGTTAGTTCTTCAGTATAACTATACCTTGAATCCTTATGGCATTTATGAGGCAATAAAATATATGTATACATATTGGCCGGATCCATTGAATGTCACGCACGTACGTGATCAGTATATAAATGTGAGTAGTGTGTGAAAGCGTCAAACTAAATGTCATGTATATACAATTATTGTCTTTAATTGTTATTAATATTTTCAGCTCTTATCAGACTTTCATTATGTTGCACCATATGATAAAATAGCAAAATTATTGGTGGAAAGACATGTACCAACATATCTCTATGTCTTAAATACCTCGATAGAAGCACTCTATTCGCCACAGTGGGCTCGGGTACCTCATGATACCGAACTTTTATGGCTAACAGGAGCACCCTTTATGGACGTTGGTATGTTTTTATATATCTTTAATTTAAATCGCATAGCATTTATACGACATAGCTATTAATATGACATCATTGATACAGAATTTTTCCCGCAAAAATGGAGATTGAGTCGAGATATGTGGACTGATAATGATCGTAATATGAGTCACTTCTTCATGAAGGCATACTCTAATTTTGCAAAATATGGGTATGTATCTAGTAATGCTGATTTATTTACTTGTATGATAAAATTCAAAAATACAACGACTTGTTCAATTTTATTCTAGAAATCCAACGCCTTCGCAAATCTTGGGATTGCATTTTGATCTGGCGCGTCATGGACAATTGCGATACCTTAATATCAATACGACATTCAACAGCACTATTGAAATAAACTATCGTCAAACCGAGAGCGCATTCTGGTCCATGTACTTGCCGACCGTTATTGGTTATCTTGTCCCTACATATCCTCCCGTTACAGAAGTAAGACATTGTAATATAATATACATGTTTCGTATATTCTTATTGAATTATATCAATTGTATTTACAATTTTTGTTGCAGTACTGGTGGGAACCTAAACAGCCACTGCAAATCGCATTTTGGTCCATGTCAACAGCGTGTCTGCTGCTACTGGTACTTTCTGTGGTGTGCTGTATGCTTTGGCGTAACGCCAAAAGGTAAGAAAAGGTAAACAGAACCAAATCCATGTGACTACAGCTTAATTCGGTGGCACCTGCTGTACCGAACGTTAGGAGCATGCAAAAACTGGTTCTGCTTTACAGTTTATTTTGGGATACGGTTTCTTTGTCTTTTCACATAACCATTTCTGAATATAAATTTCTAATTAACTCTATTCCTGCTTACAATTAGCAAAACAAAGGCAGCTAGGATACGTGCAGGTATTTATAGAAAATACTTTGTGGACAATTTTGCACAGTATGCCTTTCACATAATAATGCTTTATTAGTTGCACATAATTATAGAAAAAGTGGTCAAAGACCACTAAACTAAATGATAGAGTAAATGATTAAATTATTAACTTTTACTTAGATTTTATACATTTTTTTCTGTATATAATATTTTTTGTATTATTTTTTCCACAGACAATCTGATCACTACTATAGCGGAGACATCCTGATGGTACGAGACGATGAGCACTCCGAGGGAATCGAGAATTTAACACGATCATCTAAAGAAAATATATACGAATATCGTGATGTACCAGTAAAGACTAGAATGCCACGTCAAAACGAGACGAGATTACAAGAACGTTTAGCGCACAACAGAAAGTTCAGTTCTACACCTTCGTTACGTAGTAATTCTAACGTCTCGTTGAAAGATATGAGATCAGAAGGCTTCGTTACGAGCTCGCCTAATGGTCAGCCTAAGATGGCGAAAACAATGAGTCAATCTTCACTGCCGAAAGCTAAAAGCAAAACACTTTTAGTACAGGGTGTACCACAAACAGCTGTTTAATACTTAAGTTACCATTATACAAAAAAATCAACGATCTTTTTATATTTATTTTTTATACCTAGATTTTTAGATGCATTAATTGTTTTTAAAAGATGATGACATCTATTTGTTTTCAAAAAATGCCGTATAAATTATTAAATTAAAATTTTAAAAAGACAGTTTTGTCTATTACGCTTTCAAAAAAAATTTTTTTTTAAATAAGTAAGATTTATACATAGAGACAATAATTGAGACAACAAATTATAAATTAATATAATATTAATATTTGTAATTGTTTATCGTAAATAATGCGAAAATCTATTTGTTAACGATTATATTGACATACAATCTCTTTGAATTTTTAAATTGTTAAAGTTTTTAAATTGCTAACATTTTAACACAACGAAATATTTATACACATGAATGTATTTACAAATCAAAAGTTATTAGTCACATCTGCATTTTGATAGTGTAAACACACGACAATGCCATTTGCATGTAAGATCATTAAGTTAATGGATTTTAAATCTTAATACTTCTTGTTGTAAAATATTAGATTTTTCATAAATTACGCGACTATATAATAATAATAATACTTACAAGTGGCTACTTTATATCCGTCCATACGAGCAGAATAATTGTTATATAAATAAAAAAAAAAACATTTTATATATTTTATATGTATTATGTATATATATTATATATATGAATATATATATGTCGAATATTTTATATTGCTTTACAAAGCTGACACTCTCGTAGAACATAGGATCAAGTTGTGTAAGATAACTCGATATCTGTGCATGAAGAGGAAAAGTGCAAACGCAAAATAAGAGACATTTATTTCGATTTAGGTAGTTTACCTTTCTCAAAATGATTACGTACATGTAATTACAGCATATATGTTTTCGAATATTTTATTTTTAATATCATTAGATTTATTGTATCGGTGTAACGACATTTGTGTAAGCAGGTTTCAAATGCAACATTCCGTTGTTTAATTGTCCGATTTATTATATGTTAAATCGTTCGTTCGGTATGTATACCGATTAGACGTAGGCTGCATTCCGATATTTACTGTCAGCAATCAGTACTGAAAATCTATAGTATACATGACGTAAAAATTACAAAAATAGATTTTCAGTACTGACAGTGAATATCGGAATGCAGCCGTAGACTAAATGCCTCACTTGCTGCAAAATTCGAGTTATGTTTAAGCGCACAAATTTACTTCTCATGTTGCAGCTATACGTGTATACGTTTAATATTTTTGCATATCAAGCGTAGCTTTAGCGTTAACGATCTCATTGCTACCGGAGTTGTAATGTAAATGTAAGTCTGACACTTCTGAGATTAATGTTATACGCACATTCGAAATAACTTTCGGCGATTTGTCTATTTACAAATTGCGCAAACACGCACGTGTAAAGCAAGTGATTTGTAATAAGCACGTAAGAATAATGCCTTAAGATTTTATACAGAATCCTGTCAATAATTTCATATTGTAGATGATATAAAGTTATATTACAATATTTTGCACACACAATTGTTGTCATTAACAATGCCAATCCTCAGAATGTCTTCTCCCTGAAAGTTTTATTGTGGTTGATATAAAATTATAATATTTCACACATAGCTACTTACAGAACAAATTACGAGAATCTAAATTTTCTGAGGAAATTTTGAATTTGGCCGCAATTCTCCCTCTTGCTCGTCCTGTTTTCTTCTGGAGTAGAGTAAGTAGAGTAGGTCGAGTTCACATTCTAGTTTATATAATTCACTGGTTTGAACTAACAGTCATGGTGCACGAATATCTAGACGCGATCCGAAATCCAGACGCAGCTGGTCTTGCCGTCTTCCCTCGAAAAGTCGAAAACAATTCCCTTCCTGACGCTAAATGTGTATACGTGGTAAAATCGTATGTGTACAGTCTTAAACTATATCTCGAAGACAGTTTGATAGCTGGTGATCAATTATGATTAGCTAAAATCAAGAGAAACGAAGGAAAATCGGTAATTGCGGACCCAAGGCCACATTGCTCGTTATTTAATTGTTCTCTACTGTTGTCAGAAATCTGCAGCGACTTGCCGGTTAAATACCAGTTATTCCAGCGAAATGTCAGATTCAATGATAATTTTGCGATAAAACGAATCTAGTACAACTATATGTATATATTTTACAATTCTTAGTAATACTCTGTCATTTATAAGACAGATGCTTTGGTATTCAATCAATTGCAACAGAAACAATACTATGATTTCAGTATTGACTGCTGTGGATGAGATATGAACTATATATATATGCACACGCATGCATATTAGAATAGTTTGTTATATTCTGTTCTTTTTTTAAATAAAATTACACTAGAATTTGATTGAAAATTACTTGAATTAACGTAACTTGTACAGCGTGTTGTAGCGTTAATCAGTCTTTATATACTTTCAGTTTTTGAGTTCGTCACTAATTTGTAAAATGTACTTTTAGAGTATCAAGATGCAGAAATTTAAGAGGGCTCAAGCGCAGAATAAACTGTCTATCGAAAGGCACTTAGAAGCCAATGCGTCGTTGAATTCTTCTAGCGAAGAAGAGGATGAAACAAATGAGGAGGATGTCCAAAATGTAGTGGGCAAAGTATTGTTGGCGTACCAGGGACAGAGCACGGATGCGGAGAAAGTGATATCGTACCTGGTTAATTCCTTTCAGACCAGCAGCGCTGTTTGTTTGATATGTATATCTACTGTCAAGAAGATAGATCCAGTACGTTTAAATAACAGGATATAGTAACATCTTAAAATATGATGTTGCTATCTTCTTAATATCTTATTTGCGTTTACATACATGTTTAAGTATTGTGTGCAAGGCTAGATATTCTTTTACGTGAAAAATTTTCTTATATAATTAATATAAATTAAATATTCTCTGTCTAAATATTGATATAAGTATGAAGGAATTTTTAAATTTTATAAATACAATAAAAGTCTATATATGTGTCTTATTTTGCTGGTTTCATTGTTTGAAAGTTTCAGTAGCACCGAATGCACTAATGAAAGTAGTTTATTATCATTCCTCTATTCTTTCTGTACAGATATGGAACTGCGACAAATGCTATGCATTTCTACACATGTCTTGCATTCTGCACTGGATCAACGACAGTTTGAGCTTCAAACGAGCCAAAGGGATTCCCCCAATCTGGGCATGGTATATATATTTATTATTATTTCAAAACGGAGTTGCATGAAAATTGTGACAAAACTTCTGTTTAATATGCCAATAAAAATGCATATATTACAGTCCAAAATGCCGTATGGAATACGATCAGGATCAGATTCCAAGATCGTACAAATGCTTCTGTAAGAAGACTGTGGATCCCCCGCATCAACCCTGGGCTATTCCACATTCGTGCGGTGAAGCCTGCGGCAAACTTCTGCAACCAGAGTGCGGTCATAAATGCGTGTTGCTCTGCCATCCTGGTCCATGTCCGCCCTGCGCCAAGATGGTGTCGGTTAAATGTTACTGCGGCAAGCTACCAGCGCAACCGCGACGTTGCAATGCTAAAAACTGGAGCTGCGGGACTGTGTGCAACAAAAAATATGAATCTTGTGTACACAGTTGTAATAGCCTGTGTCACACTGGAGAATGTTCCCCCTGTGTAGAAATAGTATTACTGAAATGCCGTTGTAAGAGTAACGAGAAGATAGGGAAGTGCTACGAGGGCACGTGGATCTGCGAGAAACCTTGTAACAGGAGATTTTCTTGCAACGTACATAGCTGCGAAAGCACTTGTCATCTACCCGGCGATTGCGGCAACTGTCCCCTGGAAAAGAACAGATCCTGTCCCTGCGGAAAGAAACGATACGAAGTTTCTTGCAGGCGGCAGCAAGTGCCAACGTGCGGCGACACGTGCGGCAAGTTGCTGGATTGCGGGTCGCACTTCTGCAACATGAGATGCCATACCGATCGCTGTGGTCAGTGCTTGGAAGTCTTAACGAAAGCGTGCAGATGCGGCAACTACACGAAAGAGATCGCCTGCGCAAAGGAGTTCCACTGCAACAAGAAATGCATGCAAATGCGTTTATGCGGTAGACATTTGTGCAACAAGAAATGCTGTGACTGCATATCGAAGAATACGTCAAATGCGTGTGAGAAAACGTGCGAGAACACGCTCAACTGCCGCAAGCACAAATGCGCCGCGCCTTGCCACAGCGGCCCTTGCTATCCGTGCACCAGAACGGACGTCATACAATGTCGATGCGGCAGCAGCAAGATAACAGTGCCGTGCGGTACAAGAAAGAGAATCAAGCCCCCGCCGTGTAACAAATCCTGCAAGATTCCACCTATCTGCCATCACAGCAAGAGGGAAACGCACAAGTGTCATCAGGGCCCATGCCCGCCGTGTAAAAAGGTCTGCGGATTGACGCACAAGAGATGCGGTCACTCTTGCCCGGTCACTTGTCACACCAAGGTCTGGGTGAAGAGCAGAGCAAACGGAGTAAAGGCGCAGCCTGTTGGACCCTGGGATAAACCGAAGGACATTATGGAGCTGAAGACTTTACCGTGTCCACCGTGCGAGGTTTCCGTGCCTGTGACCTGTCTCGGTGGTCACGAGACACGCCCTTGGCCGTGTCACATGTCGAAACCGAGCTCCTGCGGCAGACTTTGCGGCCAATTACTGCCATGCCAGAATCACACCTGCGAGCTGATCTGTCACAAGCTACAAACTTCCGACGACGAATCCAACAGCGGTACTCCGTGCATGGAGTGCGAGAAGGAGTGCGATTTCGCACGACCGCCAGGTTGTACGCACACGTGCCCGCAACCTTGTCACCCAGCGCCATGTAAACCATGCAAGCAATTGGTGCGAGTCTCTTGTCATTGCGGTATTAGCACCTTATATCGGCATTGTGTAAACCTGACATCTGCAACGAGTAAGGAACGGGACGAGTTACTCAAATGTGGAAACCAATGTCCGAAAAATGTAATTACATTTATGTTCGGTGAAATACGTATAAATTTCTTTCTTTTCTTTTTTTTCTTTTCTTTCTTTTTTTTTAAATAAAATATAATCTGTTTCTTTATTTCAGTACCCATGCGGCCACCGTTGCGTCAACGATTGTCATCCAGGAGAATGTAAAGGTGGAGAGGGATGCGGCAAGAAAGTTAGATTATGGTGTAAGTGTAAACGGATCAAGAAGGACTTTCTTTGTTCGTTTCTTCAAAAGGAGCAGATCACCGTAGAGTGCGATAGTGTGTGCGAATTATTGAAGAATGAAAGAAAGGAAGCCCAGAAAGCTATGATAGCGAAGAAACTAGAAGAGGAGGAGCTGCGCAATCGGGAAGAGATTGAGAAGTTTGAGAAGAAGTTCAAGCCACGACGAAAAAGGAAGGACAAATACGAGAGCTTGAGACAGTCGCAAGAAAATGCAAGGAATAAGTATCGCAGCCTATGGATTTTAGCAATTGTCGTAAGCATTATGGGGATAATAATAGTGTATTTGACTGCTTCTGACTTAAATATATCTGTATTGAGTTGATTCTACAAACTGTGATTTGTGATCATCTATGATAATAATCATTAATAATTAAAAGATTTGTGATGTATTGACGCTTATACATATATTACTATAAGCATGATTCCATTTATCTAGTTTGTATTGCTAATAGGAGTAGTTGTGCAATTGTAACAGTCTTCATATATATATAATATATTTATAATCAGTGATAAAGGTAGTAATCGCTCAGAGGATTTTTTCAAGATTTGAAGATTTTTAGTCTTGGTGCTTTTATAATCTTATGATGTATTAAGATAAGATATGATAGAGACCAAAGTATTTTAATTAGAATTATTTTAATGCAATACAAATTGTATCTATTAAATGCTGATTTGACATTAAACATGTAACTTTCTAAATGTTCGATCATTGTCATTATATGCGGAAAAAATAGTATACATTGTATGGAAACATGAGGAATAGAATAATCAAAGTGAGAAGATTTCTTGCATTTTGAGGACAATTTAAACAATTTAAAAATTTGCATTTTTGTAAGAGGAAGATACAATAAACGTTTGTGAAACATCCCAAAAGTAATGCTCTGATAATAAAGTTAAAAATGGCAAGTAAGAAAAGTACAAACAATCATGTAATTAATATTCTTTACATTTCCCACGTTTCCTCCTTTCGGGCTCGAATCGAACCACGGACCTTTGAGTTACCAATCGCGCATGCGCAACGACGAAGCGTCATCCCACTAGATAGGCAAAGTAAAGGTAGAAATATATCATCTGCAGGTAGCTATTAAAACTGCCGAGAGAAATGGAAAAAAAAAAAAAAAAACAGAAGTTTATAGAAGCACAGAAACGCTAGAGAGCGATGTTCGTACGAACAGAGATTGAGGTACATTAAGAAAAATCAGAGCTCGAGGAATGTGCTAAAATAATTCTGGATAAATTGAAAGAAATCAACAAAGCGCTCTAGTAGAGCGGGAATCTTTAAGAGATGAACTGAACGAACTGCAGGCGAGCGAGGACAAGCTGAAGGCGGTGAAGATCAACCTGGATCAGAAATTGCACGAAAGTAAAAAGCTGTTAAAGGAGCTCCAGCAAAAATAATTTCCGAACATAATAAAAGAAAATCCAACATTAAGTGACTCCAGAGCTTAGTGGGGAATCTCACGTAATTTAAAATTGGATTTTCTTTTATTATGTTGCTTTTATTATGTTAATTGTACGCTCGCGAGAAAGTATAGCGTTGCTGTCAAGAGTATCAAGGGTGATGCGACCGGGTTGTCATACGGAAGGCGGGACGCGGGACCGCCACAGCAGCGTTCTGCCAGGCCCTGCAGACCAGCTAGTTGAATATACAACCCGAAGTTTCAATATTAAAAAAAAAAAAAGCAGAAAGATGAATCTAAAATATATTTAAAAAACAGCATAAATATAGAAAAATAACGTATCTTTCACGAATTAAAATAGCTGAGTTTTTTTTGTGTTCGAAACAAGACATGCTATAATTTAGATTTTGGAACCTAGAAAGAGGGCTTTATTTTTTGTTTTAGACGAATTTTTTGTGCTTCCTTCGCCTTTTTTGTCTTAATTTTCTCCCATTTTTGTCTTAATTTTGTCTTATTTTTCATCTTAATTTCAAAAAGTGCAAACACGTAACGCGGCAACAAAAAAGCGAGAAAAGGAGAAAATGAAAGAAACGGAGTAGAAAGTGCAAACGAATGGAGTTCACCTCTGTTCTGTTCTTTTTAGCCGAACTTCTTGTACGGTTCATCTTTTCTCTTCTTCTTTCCATCGTGAAAAGAAAAAGAGGAGAAAGATGAACCGTGCAAAGAAGCAGTGTTTATTGTTCTACTGTGTTTAATTTGACAAATTTTGAACAGTAGAACGCTAAACACCGAAAACAAGTGAACTGATTTTCAGATTTTCAAAATTTGGAACACAATAAAAAATTGCGCTCAGCGTGCAGGCAGCGCCGCACTGCTTTTTTCCAGTAGAAAACGCCGCTCTCCGTCATTATCGACCGACGGTCGAAGCGGAAGTAGCGGCGCGTGGTGCGCGGGCGCGCCGCTAGGACGGCGGCACGGTCGCGCGAGGGGCCCAGTCGATGTCCGCCGGATGATTCGCGACTCGCGACGGCGACGGCGATCCTAGATCCTACGAGAGACGTAGAGAACGCTACGCACGCAGTGCCCGTTGGTGGTCGTGATTCATGTGTCGCGGGCATCGTTCGTCGCTTGCGAATAGTGGCGGATACCCGGTGCTGCTGACAGCGGGACGGTGTTGCAGGAGCGCAACGACGAAGAGGACCCGCTTCGCCGCGTCACGTCGTCGCCGCGGCTGCTCCGTTCTCCGTTTCTGCCGTGCTGCTGCTGCTGCCGCTGCTCCACAATTATGTCACGAGGACGACCGCGCTCGCGCCCGCGGCCACCTCATTGAATTCGGTGCGCGATCCGTCCATCGTCGTCGGCAGCGGAACGGAGCACGATTCTCGCGTGGCGGAGCCGGAAAACGGGAAGGCGGAACGCAGCGATCGGCCGCCAGGCGCCACGGCTCGTTGATATTTCCCTCACGACCGTGACTCGCTCGACTCCATCGCACGTCGTGTACTCGTGTCTGCCCGTCTCTCTCTCTCGCTCGTTTCTTCTCGTCTCTTCTCTTCTCGTCTCTTCTCGTCTCCTTCCCCCTCTCTCATTATTCCTCTTGCTCCCTCTCGCGCTTGCGAGCCGCGCTCTCTCTTGCTCTCTCTCTCTCTCTCTCTCTCTTTCTTTCTCCTCGTCGCTCGCTCTTCCTAGTTCCCTTCATCGTCGAAAGCGCGCACCTTTATCCCTCACAGTCCCTCAGAGTTCAGAAGAGAGTTTCGTCCGCCGGGCTGGAAGGATAGCGCTCGCCTACGGGAGAGGCGTCGTTAAATGTGCTCGGGCGCGGGGCGCAGGAGGAAAAAGGGACTACCCGACAACCGTCTAAACGTCGGTCCTCACCACGTTGCCGTCCAGTGACTCGCCGCGCGTGTGCGTGTACCCGCCGCCACCGTCTTTCCGCGAGCGATCATCGGCTGTTCCCGATACGTAAATGGGTTTCGCCCGCCGCTTCGTTTAGAGAAAGAGAGAGAGAGAGAGTCTCGCAGCTTTGCAAGCCCGCGACAGCGTTTGTGTGCGTGCGTGCGTGCGGCAGTGGTGGTGTTGCGCGTCCGCGTTTGTGTGCCCCGCGCGTCGATGTGCACGCGGCGTCGCGCGCTCGCCGAGGCAGCCTTCACGTCGGAACGGCATTTCTGAGGTGGCGAGGTAACCCCCCTTCGACGCGAACCCCGAGACCCGACAAACCCGACATGATGAAGAGCAGTGCTCTGATGAAGAAGGAGAGCAAGATGCGCATACGTGCTTTCCCGGTGAGTAATTTCCTCGCGGCTCGCGACGCCTGGCAGAAGGGGTCGAAGGGGAGAGGGGAGGGAGGGAGCGAGTCGCTCTCGTCCTCTCCGCTCCCTCCCCCCTCCTCGCGTCCACCCTCTGCGCGCCGTGTTCTTTCGCGTTCACGCGCGCGCGCGCGCGCGCGCGCGACCAGGCTTATTTATTTACTTGTTATTTGTTTTCCTTTTGCGCCCTTGTGTCCGTCGCATCACGGCCAGGAGTGCACCCGACGCCTATAAACAGCATCCCATAACCTACCTCGACGCGACGCGACGCGACATGACACGACGCGGACATGGCACGGCGTGTTGTGCCGGTCGTAAACAATCCCGCACCTCCGGACTGCTCCGGACTCGCGCGCCAATTAGAGTCCGCCGAGTCCGAGGATCGAGCTCCGTTGGCGGCGTCGCAACGGGCTCGCTTGCGGAGGCACGCGTGCATCCGCGTGGCGGATCGAGGAGGATTGTCGTACCGTCGAGAAATCGCCCGTTCTATTTAGCTGAACTTCTCGTACGTTCATATTTTTCTCGGTTTTTCTCGTCAACGTGAAAAGAAACCGAGGAAAGATGAACCGCGCGAGAAGCTCGGCTGAAAAGAAGTCCTTGCGACACGATACCAGCACGCGTCTGCCAAATCGCGCTTATCTGCGTAGTGCAATCTTGCGTTACACGCTGATCTCCGTACCCTTTTTGCACTCTTGCACTTGAACGTCTCGGTGACTTCTCTCTCTCTCTCTCTCTCTCTCTCTCTCTCTCTCTCTCTC